AGCGTGAAGTCGACGGCCATAAGTATGTCCCACCAGCCCTCTACCACTTTAGGACGATTGTAACTGCGAACCTTACATTAAGTATTCTGTTGTAAATGGGAGCTCAACGAAGCGAGACGGTTTCGTTACCTGTTAGACGCCTTGCTCTCTTCTGGACCTTTAATACCAATGAAACTCACACTACAAGTAGCTGTAAATTTAAGTAAGTGTTCTTCAATCATCATCCTAAATATCTTCTCGTCCTTGCTTCTCATCCACCTCCAACACAAACTATCCCATATAGCGCGAAATCCTTATATTAGTCGGTCGCCTATTACTAGTAGCGTTCCTAAAACCCTTGTTTGCTCGCTGATGTTTTCTATCCACAGAAGAAAACTTTTTTCGCTGTCGTACCTGCGGGACCAGCTTCCCACAACAGACGCCTGTTTCGCACTCGACAGTTTTCCACTTCCGTTAATACTGAAGAAAAAGAAAGATACCAACTCTAGCGTTAACTGCTGCCGACTGACTCGTTCGTGGCAGGCGACCGCACCAGGCCGCTCTCGTCCTACAAGTAGGTCACGAAGACACGATCCTATTTCGTTCAGCGAAAACCCAAAAGAAGTACAATTATTTCGTCCTTGCTATCCTGGCCCAGTTAGCTGTGTCTGCTTCAACCCGACCATGTACTCGTTAGTTATTTATTGATCGGCCTACAATAACTCTGACTATTTATTAGTAATCGCTCTTTCATTCTTTATTATAACTATTACTACTATTCGTCATTAGTGAAATAAAAATTGTGCGCTCAGATCCATTTCTACCATCAAAACGGTGTTGTACGTTTATTTCTCGAAGTACAGAGGCCAGCAGTTGACTAACTCCTGTTCATTATCTCGTATAATTATACTAGCTATACTCTGAAATTCTCTATTCGTATGTAAACGTAAAAGAAACTGACAATGGCTAAGCTAATTTTAGTAGCTAGAGGAAATAAAATGCTTTCGAGATCCACTTGTACCCGCGCGTCTGTTGACCTAACTTCAATGGAAAGTATATCGAATCTCATATTAGAACAAACAAGACAAACGACGATCTCGGGCGATCGGTAGCAGCGATTCCTGTACTGGACTTGTCCTTTTCGCTTACACTCAACAGGAGTTGAAAAAAATGATAGAAATCCTTCCTCTTGGATGATTATGTTTCATAGCCGACCGACTGGCCGTCATATCGCAGCGGCGATCGTCATCTCTATGAACGCGGCCGGCGGAACAATTTCGCATAAGAACAAAAGCGCAGAAGCACCTAGTTAATTTGCAGTAGTAATAACACAAAGACTCCAAATAGTAGTAGCACAGCAGGGGCACTGCCCTGGGCGAGAGGGTCTGAAGGTTACTAGGGGAGATCGAAAGAGGCAGAAAGGCCGAGAAGCAGTTGCTGTGGCAATGTGATGCGGTGACAATAGCAGCAAGAGGATAGTGACAAGAATGGACGGGCTGTTGGGGCTTTAGAAAACAGGCCATACAGGCATGAGACCGGGTGGGAAAAACGATAAGGGCCAACTTGTAGGAAAGAGAACGAAGAAAGTACAATGGATGGAGGAAGGAGGCACGAGACAAAAAAAGCGAAGGACGTTGCAGCGTCCGTACTCTCAAGGGGTACAAGCGGTTGGAGAAACTAGGGTTATAGGGGCACAGCCGTCCTGTTGACGGTCGGAGGAACGCAACGGAAGGAAGTTCAAAGGCCTCTTTCTTTCCAAGGAAAAGGTAGACGCAATAGAGGAGATCTGGGAACAACTCTAAAAGCTTTTCTTGGCTTTGTTTTCTTTCATCGCGAGAGATTGCGAAGCAGCGTCGTATACACACTACACTTATAGTGGAGCAGCAGCTCCCTTGTATCGGAGTGGCGGCCATGCCACTGTGTTTAAGCTCATAAAAGAACAGCAGCGGCAGCAGCTGCAAAGACAGTACTAGCCAGAGCTTTTAGGGTCTCTTTTGCAGCGTTTTGCTGGTTTCCTAGCTTAGATTATGTTAATGGCAATGATGAGCTGATTATAGTGCGAGAGAGTGGACAGGTCGAAACGTTAGATTACAGACGACGTCTATGGTGGCCGCTTTCCCTTTACTCGGCATTAGCTCAAACCTCATAACAACGAGCAGATACTAGGCAAAAACTCTATTTACGTGTGCGTTCACGCCTCCAGCGCAACCCACTTCCGTAACACACACATAGTTATTTTAGTGGTTGAGGCAAAACAAAAGTGACAAGTACCCCGTAGTAATTTCATTTTTTTGCTAGAGAAAAAAGCGCATGAACGGGAATAACGGGAACCGTACTTTTCCCGATGTTGCGTACCATCGGATACGTTTGACAACTAATTCTAATTACTTCTACGAAGTTTTAATGTGTAATGCTGTATTCGGAACATGTCCATGTTGCACGGCCTTAAAATTAATACTCTAATTATATTACTGTTGTTTTGTTAAACTATAGTCTAAGGCCCCAAATGTGAGGAGGGCTCCATCCGAGACGTATACTCCCCCTTTAAACATGGGAGAATCGTGAAACAGCTGGGCGTACAAGGGTTTTTCCTATGTACATTTAGCTTATTAACAAATTAGAGATACACGCGTATTTAACCATAGAACTAACATGCATTAATATGAACAGTAGAAACTTCGATGTCCAATTACAGATCATGGCCAAGGCTGTGCATTACCAAAACATTTGATCCCTATTTTGGAACGGTGTTGCCGACCTTACAACAACTACTGCACATAGATATAGGTCAAGATCAATGGACATCTTCGCAAATAAATCTTTCATGTTAGTTGAAAACATCTGTATAGTGAATGACATGTCCATAGGGCCTTCGTGGCTCACTCTAGCCTAAACTGGGTCGATACGAAAATACAAAAACAAACGATACTCAGGCCAAATTCTTCCTTACCCCTTTTTGTCCTCGTAACCTTGTTGATACTTGTTTTAATAAATTACTTCGACTAGGTGTGCTTGTACAAAAGTTTTTTTTCTACACAAAACCTGCTCAATTTATACTTTTGTATGTTTGCACTGTTGCGTTCGTTACGTTTTCAAAAACATTTAAGTCGATTACAGTTGCGTACAAAACCTTAAAATGTCTTTCCGAATAATCGTAGCCGTATGATCACACTAAATCAGAAAACATAACGGAATTTAAATAGAGTACAATTGTTATGCCTGATTGAAAGCGGTAAGTTATAGTGTCAGTATCGTTCTCTCAGTTCGTAATTATTTGTTCGACAAACATGATACATCAAGTACGGTTCCGATGGCATCTATCCTGCGCCTGCCATGTATAAAATCGTAGAGAGTTGATAAAGATTCTACGATTGTGTAAAGACACCTCAACTGAGTGTCTTAGGTACCACAAATGTCGATTCTTATGCAGCATTCGTATTGAGCACGTCCAAACAGATTAGAGTTTTAGAAAATTAGGTCCTTTAAATGAAAGCGATTTTGCCTCTGCCGTGGCCAATGCGATCAAACGTATGTCAAGGCTCTTGGTTCACTCGTCGTGGCGTTGACTTAAGCTATAGAGAATACTTAACTTGAAATAAAATTTGACCTCATTCAAATCCCTGTACCTATAGTAGAGACTTAAGCATCCCTCGAGCTGAAACGTACGCGACGCCAAACGACAAGGTAAACGAACAGCTGCAAGCCTAAACCTACGGCATTGCACTTCATACGTACGATCGCTGTCCGACGCGAAACAGAACTCACGCGGGTAGAGTAAATGTCAACCTTAGGTGGACTTTCGCCGGCACATGTCGATAGGTATTCTGCGACATAACATGCAGTGCGCTCCATCATATTTGAAATTGCAGGAAATGTTAGCTTAAAAGAGCCGGGATTTCATGCGAAATGAGAAGGAACATATTGTAAATTCACGAACGATTGCCGCCAGGACACAAGTCGTCTCCGCCCTCTGGCATTGCTCGCACTATTCAAGAAGCGGCCGAGATTCTTACCTCTCCAACGATCCTTTGCCTATTTCTATCGTGGCAGCGAACATAATCCACGACAAATTATAACGACTTTCTGGGGAAAATGAGATTCGACCTCTCACTGTATTTCTTAAATAATGTTCAACATAGAGAGAGAAAGCCTGATTTTGTTTCTTCTGACAGCGTTCAGTCAAGAGTACATTTCGTAAATTTCTGTTCGACGGACGGATTACCAGACGTGGATGTCGATGGTCCGCGGATTTGGGGTCGGAGACGTATGCGTGCAACGCAAAAAGTGGATTGATGAAACGAGGCGCCCAAAAAGCGCGTTCTGGAGTAGACACTAGAAGGTACCCCCTTGTGCCTCCGACGGACGGCGAAGTCGCTGCTAAGACGCAGAAGAACAGAAATGATTTGGATGCAGAATACGATCGTTTGCCTACCGCTCAAACGGCCCACAGCTACGACCGCCTGAATATATATGGCTGCCACACCACGGAAAAGGAGCAATACAAATTACTATAATTTAAAATGCTTCTGTATCGAGTGGCAACACAACAGAGCAAAAGTTCCTAAAACAGCAAAAAGTGCGTAAACACCTTGAAGTATTAAACATATAATTGGTATTCATTGTTATTGCTTGTATCCACTGATTGAATTTAAGTCTAAGTTCATCCGCGCGCAAAGCAGCCACTGTACGCAAGAAATACGGTCAGAACTCTCTCACGTCGTATATATACGATCAAGTTACAATGCGATTTTTCCACTTATCAATTGCAAGATCCGGAGCACGCCCAACAGGGCATCGTTCTGCCTCCTTTGCAACTAAATATATCTCACCGAAATCCGGTCTCTACTAATCCTTCCGATATAAGGATCTTCATATATCAAGTTTTTTGTGATGTAAAGCTAGCCGAATCCTTTTTATGCGTTCGACATGTCTTCATCGATAACGCTTGAACGCAAGCAAAATTAATCGAATCCGTGTATACATAGTACAGCAGCAAACCAAGTGCTTATTTGATTACTGACCCTGTGTCCATCGTCGTCCTCATCTTCGGCGGGATCGTAGTGTTCAGCGAAGACACTCTTCCTTCGATTGTACCTCGTGGGCGGCGGGGGTTCGGGTTCGTCTTCATCGCTGTAGATGGCTTCGTCGTTGTCGACGGAAGCGCCGCCTTCGCCGCCTGGGCCGCCCCCACCATTGTTCGAAACTGACATTGCCGTACGCTGCTCGTGGAGATTACTGTGAGACAGAAAATAGATAAAGAATACGTTTTGCAAGAAATGAGTTAATAGTCATTAGATTGGTGCATCATGGAATTAGATGGATTGCTAAATCCGACAATCCTAGCCGTGCACAAAAACACATGTAGAACATGCGTTATTTATGACATGAGCAGAGCAAATAGGTCAATCTGCCGCACCTAAAATACTCAATATTTAGTAGTTCTTCATAAGGAGCGAAGTTCCTACAATCCCGACGACAAAAGCAATTGACAACAACCATCCTTTAAGACCAGATTAATAACAATAATTTTTAAGTTATTACCATCCATATCTCTGCTGCGACGTCATATAAATAACGATATGCCTGTACCGCGAGCAAGTTGCCGCTGAAGTGCTGAATCAGCAAAAACCCACTTCGATACGTAACAACAATTTTTCCAGCGCATAATCCTCACGGCTAAATCGGGTCTACATAAATAAAGATTATAAATATAGAATAGGTTTTATCTTTTACTATTCAGCTCGCTGAACACTTATAGGTAAGCGAATCAACAGAATGTATAGAGTTTGCATCACTTAAACCATAGGCGACCAATTTTTTCTAGATATATGTTCTTGGCTCCACTGTGCGGTGTACTGCCAGCTATATATGCGATATATAGCATCTCTGTTACAATGCATTTGTCTATTTATCTTAAGAACTTCTGCCGATATAAGTTCGAAATTAGGCGTAAGCACAGCTGCTCCTGTGCCAAGAGCCGGCCGCCTGAAGCGATGCCTGATTAAAAAAAAGGCAGTAGCGAACCTAGCACCCGAAGCATTCATCTTTCACACTTGGTTGAGTAAAGGGAATAGATCGACAAGGGATATTTGCTATGCCTGTGATCGAGTTTATCCATAATAAGGTTTGTCAATAGGGCTACTGACAAAATGTACCTCGTCCTGAGTTATGCAGAAAAAGAATTATACCTTTTCCTAAAAAGATTTATTACAACTAACATTTTCTTAAAGAATTCGTATGTATAAGAACATTGTTGTACGCCTTTTTACTTATCGCACAAATATTTATCAACCTGTACACGTATAGGGGCACAATCAAGTATTTGTGATCCTCATTCATTAAGTACGTTATTGGATATACTCACAGAAAAATTTACTCCCAACCAAAAAAAAGAATACCCATTCCATATGACTTAAGCTGCCTGCCCCTAGAATATAGTATTATTATATGGCATAGCATTGCCCTGATGAGCATCACGTACCGTTGGTGTTTGCACCTCATTTCAAAGTGCACAAACGACGGTAAGCAAAGCTATTTTCTTATATTCTGTCGGCAATTACTACTATGACTTTGTACATTTCTAAAGCACGCTGAATTTCTCAGGACCATTATACCTCTCTGACATCGGTAATGTCCTGATCTAAAGTAACGTTTTAGATTTTATGTCTAGCATTCCATCAGACGGCTGGCTCCTAGTACGTAACAAGCATCCCCACGCTTGGAGACGACCCTGCGCATCTCGTGTCCCTAAGATTAGCAGGCAAATATGTTACCCGCTGAAATATGACGGGGATTAATGTTTTTGTATAAAACGTCTCATCTGTCCTTTCCTCATGCGTATCTCTGCCGCGGTACGCGCTGTGTGCTTGATCTCTTTGCACCATTTGTTTGCATCACACATTTGCCGTCACTTAGCCATTGGCCCGAACGACAAGTGAAAGCATCAGAATCGACTGCTATAAGCAGTACTTGTAATTCATTACATACGAATCTGTGTTGGCTACGAAATACATCGAGACATGTTGCCCTATACGTACCTGTGTCGCTCTTAATCTCAGCAACGGGTAAAGACAGTTAAGAACTTTGTGTTTAGTGAGACAGATTGAGTCTGTCTTAATATTGTATCATATATATATCGTATACCGGGACGAATGCTACCGAGCTGAGCGGCGTCAAGGGATGGACGGAAAAACAAGCAGACAGTTAGAACGCATGTCTACATAAAAACTCCCTAGGTACAAATCGATTATGCTGCAACTGGGTAGCCTACAGACACGGTGAGTACTAAACGTTTGGCCCGACTTGACCTGGTGTGGCTTGACTAGGACGTTTGTCCTTCGTCCTAAAAGTGGCGGCGCACACGTTACGTCGAACACCTTGACGACTTACGAGGCGCACACACGTCAAAAGCGACAGAACCAATTCGAGACCTATCTGCGCCTTCCACTGGCAACACAGGCACGGGTGCTGTTGCCAATGCCAATGCAAACAGTAAGGACATTTGCCAAGAGAAGGCCACCGCTTCCCCACATATATACTATAGGTGGCTAAGGTAGAGAAGAATACGACTTGATTAGCATAGAACACTCTTGAAGGGCATCGCTCCTACTGGTTCAGCTGGAAAAAATAACAGCATCGAATGAGCGAATCGCCGCCGTAAAGCCGACATACATAGATTTAATCACCTATATTATTCTGTAAGATGTGTTTACAGAACATTGTAAATCTGCTAACATTTTTTTTATTTATATTTTATTATAACTGTATTAGGTTGACTGTATTTAATAGCCGGTTGCTGTGAGTCAATGACACAGGGATTAAGGACAACGAAAACACATCTTTGGAAGTATGACGTTGAACTGAAAGAGTCGTTGACGAGAGTCGCTTCCATTTCCAGCTGCCTTCAGAGGCCGGAGACAAAAACAGTGAGCAATGTCTTTGGACGCGGAGCTGATCTTTTCTTCGCTAGGGTCTGAAAAAGTATATTATCTATCGTTATCGTTTTGTGGCCGCCAAAAAAAACAAAAGGATATCTCTAATAGATCGACGGCGTGTGTCGTGTAGGCTTGGGCAATACTGTTCCAGTTTCAAACTTTCCAATGCTGACACGACGATTCGAGAGCATGTATATGTGTATATATATACACGTAGACATATATGCGTGTGTGTGGCGATTCAAAACAAGACCCCCGCTTCGTAACCATTCCGATGGAGACGTAACTGAACGGACGCGTACCCCCCCCCCCGCCTCCCCCCGTGTTTCAGCAGCCAAATTACTATTCCTTGTCGCGATCGCATGCTCGTTCCTATGGAAGTCCTATTTTTGATGTTCATATTGGCGTTGGCCAGCGGCGTCATATGTAATGACCATCTGTGACTCTCGTTTGTTGCTGCTCATACGTTTTGACCAGCGAGACAGGACGCCTCGTTCTGTTTCCTTGTCTAGAAGAAAAGTTATTGCGAGCGCTTGTAAATACAACTACTCGAACATTGTCGGACATAGCCAATGGGGACCTGATATAATCACTCGTTTATAAACAGATCCGCCCCAGGGTTAGATATAGGCTATAGATGGTCAAATAAGTGGATACAGTATTAGTACGCTAATATGTCCATTGGCAATTACCATGCATAAATTTTTAACAGCATGACAATAGTGAACCAAATATACGAAAAAGCGGGTCGCATAAGGAAACAAGCGCGGGTAGTGGAAATTTTCGATAACCCAATCAAGAGATATCTTCAAGAGATATCTCTTAGATAACGATGGCATCTGATTATTTGTCTTTGCACAGTTCTGCATAGGCGAAATTGAATCAACTAGATACTTTTCGAGTGGCCGCGCAACGTATACTGTTTGTAGGGACAGCTTCGATTCTCGTGGCGCTATTTAGAATTTAACAGATGCTCTAAAAGACAAATATAATAGCCGAGTTATTGTTATTATCGACTATAAGGGGAAGACGTAAATGTAACGATATAAGGAACAATTAAACAGGAAACGCTGAGCTGCTGTTGGATATGACACCAGCCTCTGCCCACTGGTTCCAAACTTAAATAGTAATACTATATTCCTGAGACGAGTTGTTAGGTCGTTCACGACCGAAGAGCCACCGCCCGTAATTCAATTATCGTCCGTGCTCTGAAAATATTTGTGCATTTAGTCGCCTGTCATTTATCCACTCGCACGAAGGGAAGGATCATCTGGAAAACAGCATTACAACCACTTAATCGCGTTCCTATTCAGATACTGTCATGCTTTGTCACCGTCTAAGCTGTCGCTCTGAAATCTATTGTCGTCATAGAGTTCGCTGCACGCGTCTGAACGCAGACGGCTACCGCCTTAATGCTGGCGCTCCAGGTCATTGCAACTGACGGTCAAAGGCGGCGTCGCCTCAGACGCCGCCGGTCCTAGCTTATCTCTCTATCTCTTCTCCTGTCATTCCTCTGTCGCTCCGTTTGTCTGGCATCGGGTCGTCATCGGCCTGTCCGACCGCGCCTTCTCGTGTTCGTCTAAACGTATTCCTCTATTACTGTCCTAAGCATTGCCATCTGAGCAGTCGTCTCAGCTGAGTAGAACGATACTAACGCCCTGCTAAACGTCAGCAGACAACGAACAAGCAGATAGATTCAGACAAACGATACGACTTTTATAGGGGATGTGCATTATCGGCAGCTGATCATTATTATGTAAACAAAGATTCCGTATACGTGCAAAGCGCGGTCGCGGAAGCAATGCCACGAACGTCGACTTGCGCCGAGCCCGGAGGCGTCTGTTGCCATCTATGCTATTATATAACATAGCCGGCCACACCGTGATCGCTAAGATTCTTACGAATATCTACGTCGTTCGAAATAAACGAGTAAGCTAGCTTTGTTTGTCTTCCGCTAAGCCCTTTTGTGCTGAGCTAGCGTACAATGAAGCGACGGAAGATGAGATACAAGTGGTTGTTCTTCATCAATCGGTAAAAGAAGGGGCTAACTTGTCGATTACCATAACAATACGCATGGGCAGAGATGTCGCTGTAAAGATCTTCCGCAGCAGCCAACAACACTAGAGACAACGACTAGCACGCATTGAAAGTCGACGTGTTTGTTGCTATCTATCTTCGTCACCCAATTCGATAACGTTTATTTACTAATGTACCAGCATTGGTTCTATATATGCGTACACAGTGTACTGCGAACACTACATTGACACAAGGCAGATGGAAGCATCGCGACACAAAAAGAGA